CACTGCCCTCTTGTGGATTTACAGATCTACTGTTAAGGTAGGAAAAAAAATAACCTGTATGAGTTCTGACACTGGGAGAAGCATACACTGACCGGTATTTCTTGACAGAAAAATTGTTTTGGGAGAACACCTGTACTGAAATTAAATACAGTGGTACCTCAGAACTCGAACTTAATCCGTTCAGAACACTGGATCGAATCCTAAAAAGTTCGAGTTTTGATCGAATTTTCCCCATAAGAAATAATGGAAAACTAATTAATTGGTTCCCGGTCCCAAAAAATTACACCTAAATATGTTTTTTTAGCATTTAAACACAAAATGAACCGGATAAAACAAGAAGAGCATATACTGTACTAAACACATCTAAGCACATTTATCAAAACAGCAATTTGTAAAGTAAGAAAATAAATGTATCCAAACAATGTGTCCTGCCCTGATCGTCCACTCCTTCCGTGTGCCACGGCCCCTCGTTAACCCCGTGTGGAATCCCCTTGTGATCAGCTGTTTCTGGTTGTTGTCATTAGTCCTCTGTATTTCGTCTGCATTTCAGTTTGTTTCCCCAATCCGGTCATTGTATTGCCCGTCTGCGTTTTGCCTGCCTTACCTGTAATTAAACCCCGTATTCCCCGATACCCTGACGTCTGCGCCTTTGTCTCCATTCCGCCCCCGCTTGGCACGACAATATTATTATAATTAAATGTATTAATGGTTTATTATTAATATTAAAATAATTAATACAAAATCTTTATTATTTAATGTATTTTATTATTATTATTATTATTATTATTATTATATTATTACTGTTACTGTCTCTCATTGTCTAAATGTATTTTTACTGTCTAAATATATGTTTTCAGTTAGTGTAAACATACATGATGCTATCACAACGAATGCGAGGCTGAGACTGAAGCGTTACCCTTTGTCTCCGCTGAGAGACGTGCTGCGTGACTCATTTCCCCGTGCATACAAGTTCTCTTAGGTCGGCGTTCACGGTTTGACTTCTGAGATTCAGATCGAGTTCTAGGTAATTTTTTTCTAACTGGTTGGTTCGACTTTTAAGAAATTCGAGTTCTATTGAGTTTGAGAACTGAGGTACCACTGTACAGAGATTCTGCAAAAGCCGAATCATAGGGAAAATCAACACTTTTAAAGCCACAAAGGGTACACGCTTGCTAGGGCACACTCACCTGGCGGGGGCTGTGACGTGGGCAGGGGGGGCATGGGGGTCTCCAGGCGAGGGATTTTTGCACCTATTTGCTCCGGAGCTGAAAGAAAACATCATAAGTACAAGGAGCTACGATGGACACCTGTCTAAATTGCCTTTTACAAACTGTTACGCGGTTTCAACTTGTGTCCTAACTTTACCTGGGGCTTTGGGATCCTCTTTTGGAGAAGCAACCTGATGACAAAAAGAGAAAACCAAAAAACAAACCGACATTAAGAACAACAACCGTCAGTAAAACCTAGTGATGTCACATTAGGCCGTATAAGGAAGCAAAGGACCTCCCACTCCACCGCGGCCTGGCCTGACTCACATGGGGCCGCTTGGTCTGCCGTGGCGGGCTGGTCTGCGGCGACGCCTTCTTGGGGGGCGGGGGTGCCGCCTGACTCTGGCTGTTGGGAGGTTGAGTCTGCGGTGGAGGCTGAGCTGCTGGAAGGGGCTTCTTCTCCTCTTTCTCCTGCAGCTGCTGAGGGATGGGCTGCTTTCCTTGGGAGTACAGGTCCAGAATCTGGTGGCAGATGTCTGCAGGACCCAGCAGAAGCAGCCATTAATGCTGATTTAATATGGACATTTGGGGGGGGGGGAGGTAATATGATGGAGGACACACCAGGTTAAAAAGGCCCACCAGGGTCAGATTCATCGGCCTGCTGGTTTTATTCTTACGGTATACCTGGTGTTGTCCAAAACATGCCATGACATTTCCTATATCACAGCACACAGAGATCCACTGTTTGTCTCATTATAAAACAACCTGATTCACTCTTTAATTACTACGTTCTCCAACTTTTCAAG